TGCTATCTTCGTCCAGACCGGGCTCCCGATGGATCCGGTTGCGGAGGCGCACTTTATCGACCCGTTCGCTGCTTGCTAGACTGCCTTCATCTCTGCTACCGATGCCAAAAAGTCCACTGCTCACATAGTTGCGGCGAAAAACCATGGTGCCCAGGCCGGGACGTTTGAAGAGCGAGTCGTGGCCCGAGTCTGTGCTGATCTCTGAGTGGTCTACATCATAACCGTGCAGGTCGGGTTCACTGATGGCACGTGAGACAGCATCCTCGCTGTCATGACGGAACATATCACGTATGTTACGACGAGACCGATCCTTAGGGTTGACGTACGTTCCCTGCTTCAGAAACATGACGTCGTTGCCTAGTTGTAGGCCAGACAAAGAGCGGACACTCTTCCTGCCATCTTCGTAAATCTTGAATGTCCCGTCACCTTGCTTCTTCTTCTCAAGCTTCTTCTGGATCTTAGTTTTGCCCCTGGCTGTGGCATGGAGAGTAGCCTAGAGCGAAAATATGGTACAAGTGTAGCTTCAGTGACTGTGGCTTGTAACCAAACAATCAAATATTTAAGCATTTCAGAGCAATTGGAGAAAATCTGACCTGGGAGTATGGCACACTAGTGGCAGTATTGAAGTGGCGTAACTTGCGACTCAAGGTGCTGCTGGCGTAGCTGGAGAAGCTCATGGCATCAGAGACCGATGCTTCCATTGTCTCTCTCTGAAATCTACGCTCCATATGCCGCCGGTGCTTCTGCTGCAGTTTAACGCATTCCTTGATGCGGCGTTCAGCATCGCGGAAAGCCCGGTCCTTCAGTTTGCTTACTAGCTTGGGATTGAGGGCTGTCTGCTTGGCAGCGATGGAGTCCAGATAGCGCACGCAAGCCATGTGGTTCTTGGTGGCAGCCATGTCCAGAGGCGTGTGGTAGTCGTTGTCCAGGCACCACACGTTGGCACCAAATGACACCAGGAAGGACAGGCAGTTGAGATGGCCATTGGAGGCAGCCAGGTGGAGTGGCGTGTTCCCCCATATGTCACACTTATCTGGGTTCCCCCTGAAAGTAGAGCCGTAATAGATCCATATCAGGTGTGGCATTTAAATGTGACCTCTGTGAAACTACTACTCAGACCCTATGACCTTTATATATAATATAATTCACACTTTCATGTGTTAGGTGAAACTGGATATGGCTTGTCTAAGCTGTCATTATCACTTGTTTTATATCCTAAGAATAGCTCATACCACACTGTCAATCACATGATTTTTTGATTATGTTTTCAGCACTGGCTTGTCATCCGTGAAGGCCAGTAAATAATGCATAAGTCTATGAAACTGAAACAACGTGTTCTACACATTTGATATCTAAAATCATCATAAGAAGAACAAACAGGTGTGTTATACAACCCATACAATCTCTTATTTTTCTTACTTACATAAGTTTTCTTATTTAAGCCAGTAATCCAGGTTTATCTCTCCTAATGCCGACCCAGAGCACTGGATCTGTAATTTGATCACCTGCTTGAATAAGAGGGAGCTAACTGGGTGTCTCCTTACTAGCAAGAATGATAGAGTTGCATAGGTGATGTCACACTAAATTCCTGTGTTCAGACTGTAAACACAGGTCTGATCAACAAAGAACCTAAATTCTGAATTAATGTCAAATCATACCATAATATTCTAATCTATGACTGCTTAAAACTACATAGATAGTGACTGTTCACAATATAACTATTTAAAAAATGCAGACTATTCTAGAAAATGCATTTTAAGCACACACTCATTGGAATTTTGTTTACTGAAGTGTTGTGTTGCGATATCTACAAACACATACAGAATTCTCTATTAGACATTGTCACACATATCCATTAGAGCTCAGTATTAATGTTACTTGCTATACGACACACTTTGCAAGGACTCGTTACAGTGCGATGCATTACGATATGATAATTGGATTGCTTGAAACGAAACTAAAGTATATCCCCACCTACACCTACAGGTGACTTAAACTGCACTGAAAAATGCTGGTTTCAGAGTTTGAGTTTTCACTTTACAGTTATGCTGTATCTTTCTGTTTGCTGCATCTAGTGCTAGCTGAGCCTAATTAATATTTGATGGGTGACAGGTGAAGCCTTGCAGTGATGCATTATGGATGAAAAAAGCTGTAAGGTTTTCACAGTTAGCAAAGGGAGCTGTGTGCGCTATTGGGTCAAGCCAGAATTTGGATTATGACCTGCTAACCTGCCTGACCTTGATTTTGGCATGCCAATACCTCCATCAAATATATTAACTTCATTTATTGCCCTATAAAATGAGACACCCTTATAAATCCTTATCCAACCCGATTAGACATGTACTGCAGCTGGTACCATGAGCAGACCATGAGTTATGAACTGTCATTTTTATCCCACTAATACTGTCAGATAATCAGACATATGACTGGCAGATTATTATAAAATTACTTACACATAAAGTGGTGTATTATATAATGTCATATGCTATCTCCAACCATCACTTAACAATTGACTGCTATATGATCCCCACCACCCATAAATGTCTATTTTTTACCACTGTTGCTATTTTTACCATCATTTTACTGTCCCTAATTCTTAGCAACTTCTAATAGCATGGTTCATGACAGGTCAGAGTCTGTTCTCACGTACCGCAAGGCACTAATGACCTCTTGAACGCCTTTTTCTGTAAACGGTAGGTAATATCGTGGGAAATCATGCTTCAGGGATCAGGCAGTGCCATGCTGTGCATTGACTTAATCACTACAGAAGAGAAACACCCAAATTAAGGGATTAATTACGGAATCCCTATGTGTACATAAGCATAAATTGGTTCTTACCGTAAAAATACGATGCTTGCTTCGCATTACATGGAGGAGATAACGCAATAGCCAGTGGCTTTCAATGGTCAAACAGTCCGATTATCCATTCAAGGCTGCCGAACAGTGGGAGAACTTCTCACAATTAAGAGTTTTTATAAAGGGCCTCTAGGTCCGCAAAGGAAACCAGGTCAGCTTTGATGAAAGCTTTTGTGTGTTCGCTTTTATTTGTCTACTGTCGTAAACATTAACAGAGCGGAATTTGTTTCCACGTTGTTAGTGATAAAACAACTCAAACGACACTGCAAATGAATAAGGGCCTCTAAGAAGTAGCAAGGGCAGTATATCTGTCTTAAGGCGCATTCAAGGTATACATTTTTAATCAGTCCATGCATTAACAAGGAATTGAACCTGTGACCTTGGTGCTGTTGCTAACGGCACGTTCTGCTAGGCTGAGCCACAGAAACCCAAAAACGTGAAGAAAAAAAAATACCACTAAAATGGTATCTGTTTTAATAAGAATTTGGTTTTCATGCTGATGGTTTGCTATGCCCAAAATGTAAAAACTTGCAGTTGATTTTTTCTACCTGATCTGACTTGCCAAAGTCAGTATTGAGTCAGCGCTACATAATAGTTTTGACTTAAATGAACCCAGTTTCCATGCTACAAATGTACATTTTTGGGTCACTTATAAAAAAAAAAACTGGCCATTTATGGTATTATGTTAACATGACATGGTTCTCTGCAAACTTGAGACATATTATATAACACCACCACAAACATCACGAGAAAGGGTTTAAAGAAGTTGTTTGGAGAACTGAGAACAGCACGTTCAACACCCAATTAACCTCATCAAATCATCAGCCGTCGTGACACCAGCATTGAGGTGTGATGATACAGTAACGGTGACCAGAGCTCTGCGCCATGCCGGTTCCTGCGTAAACCGTATTATATGAGGCGTACATGCACACATACGGGTTAAACTTCTGCTAAATCTACAAACAAAACCATAACTTGTAATTAATCAAATGTAGGGAGTGACGCGCAGTCTTACCCTCTCCCTACAATCAGCCGCAGCGCCTCCAGGTTGCCGTGGTAAGCGGCCCATAGGGTCGGTGTCATGCCATCTTCATCCGGAGCGTTCAGGTCCTTCCGCGTCGCTTCTTTCAACAAGTCAAGGTAGCCATCCCGAGCTGCCTTGTGGTATTTGTCATTCATGGTGATCTCGAACCTCAGCCTCCATCACTCTTTCACGGGCTCTGTGCATTAGGTCTGAACCCCTGACCGGCTGCAGCGCGCGTTAGGCACTTGGAGTTTCCAAGGACACCCCGGACGCGCTGCTGCTTGTGAGGGTGTGGCTTCTGCGCGGTCCTTCCAAAACGCAATCTTTTCCCCATTTGGGATTCGAAATAATATAATATTGGATTTAAAAGAACACTGCTCCCTCCTTCAAAGTCTAACAGCATTACGAAACAGTTGTTTAATGCTTAATAAACATTCAAATAAAGTATGCTAAAATTGTCTGATATTTTAATGAAAGCTACCTTCACTTTTCGCAGTCATTTTTTTGCAGTGACTTGACCAGTTCGTTTAAGACCAGTTTTAGTGGATGCATGCCGTCAGTTTTTATTATCCCTCTATTATTTATTTATTTAGAGATGTTTAGCCTGAAAAGTAGATTTGTATTCTAGATTTGTATTATATTTGTAGATTCATATCTTTAGTTGCTGCTTTGGTGGCCAAATACTTTCACTGTATTTCATGATTTAATGTAAACTGCCGTTAATAAGGCCTATTATTGTCTTCACATGAACGTTGTCATAGTAGTTTTAAATGTGCTGAATCAATATTTTTTATAATACCTCATCAATTGGATTTTTATGGGGATTATATATAGATTTAGGCATATATATCATGATGTCTCATCGCTGTGGCATTATCATACACACCACCACTGATGTTTGAAGATTTATTTTGCCTGTAATTGCATGGTGTATGGATGTCAAATTGTTCATACATTCTAATTATTTGTGTACTGTGTGTTGTGTCTGACAGGTTACAGGTCCTTCAGTTTTACGGCTGTAAATCATTGTGTCACCAAGTGAATATATATGCCATGAGGTGGCACGCTCCTCAGCAGGCCAGCAGTTTCTGTTCGTGGTAAGTGTAGGACACTAACCAACATGTGTATCAGTATCAATTGTGTTATACTGAATAGTGCTATTTTAAAATCATCAAATGTATATGACAATTAATTGGTAACACTTTAGAATAATGGTCCGTTGTTAGCAAGTAACTATGCAGGAAATAATAGGTAGTACTACATTAACTCTTAAGTTAATACTATTTACTAAGAGGAGCAAGATTAACTAAGCAGTAAGTAGTAGCAAATTTAGGACAAAGGTAGTTCCTTATTAGATATTTGATAATTACTAAAAGAATATTCAAATTCAATATAATAAACACAATTTTAAAAAATATCAAATTCATAAATTAGTTTCCACAAAGAACCCAGTTGTTCACTTTTAAGACGTTACTGTTGTGATTAGTAATTAATTGGTTATTCTTTATTAACTGGTCATAGTTCACAAGTAGTTCTCAATGAGGATATTTTTATTTATCACTAAGATGCTGCATAATGTTGTGTACTCTGTAGACATCTAGTCTCATGTGTTTATGTTCTGCTTGTGTATTTATCAGGTGGACTGGTTCTGTTCGGCGGCTGCAGTGTAATCATGGATATTTTCAAGATGATTTATTACGTGGGTCGTATACACTGCGAGTCGCCTGTGAAAATAGTCTTCCCTGCTGTGCAAGCTCTGTTTGTCATTGTGCAGGTAGGTTAAAACTATAAAGAACGGTTTTAGGTTATTTGTTCTTGTATTTCTAGATCATTTCAATATATTCTCTTCCATATTCCAGACATACGTCCTCTGGGTTCATGCAAAAGACTGCGTGCAGATACAGCAAATCATCACACGGTGAGTTCTAGGTGGTCGATGATGTTTTGCAGACTTTGGTTGTTATCTGCTTTTGTCAATTTATTTCCTTGTCTTTTACTTTCTTGACCTCAGCATGTAGTCAGGAAAAGAAATGAATGGGAATGTCTGACAAATGTAGGCAAATGATCACACCCTTTCAGAACCGTAAAGGAAATGAGTTGTGTGTAACCACCATGACTAGCCCGTTGACTGTAGAGCTGTATGACGTCTCGGTGTGAAGCAATGAGCATACAAGTTAGTTCAAGGAAATGTTTGCCAGACTCAGGGTTTGATAGGATACTGGCATGTGCATTGACTCTCTTCTATGAAACAGGGCTGCTAGCATTACTGTATAGTAATATTTAGTCTCTCATTGCAGTTGTGGTCTGATGTTGACGCTGTCAACGAACCTCGTGGTGTGGATGATGGCAGTGACGGAGGAGTCGCTCCATCAAACAGTGGCTCCAGCCGACCCTTCATACAACAGTTCTTCAAACGATGGTCACAGATTCGATGTCACGTCACAAGGTGCTTAACATCAGTAAACCACATTTGTATAGATAGCAGTCCAACATTAGCCATGAGGCTTCCAATCATCAGCCAATCTGCAATTCTCACATCAAACACCCTGCATCGATATGCTTCATTTGAAGATTAAGTAGAGCATTGCACTGACTATCTCTGTTGTCTTTCTTTCAGGCCGCTCTGGAGCGAGTGAATGCGAGTGTAGCCATAACATGTGCGATGTCTTTGAAAAGGTCTACTACTACCTGTATCCCTTCAACATCGAGTACAGCCTCTTCGCATCAGCCATGGCCTACGTCATGTGGAAAAACGTTGGCCGCCAGATGGATGATCACCATAGCCACAATCTGCGCTTTAGTCTGTGGGACGTCCTAATCGGTCCAATTGCTGGCCTGATCATTCTGGTGGCGGGCCTGGCTACGTTTGTGATGTACGAAGTGGATGTGGCCAAGGAGGAACCAAAAAAGAAGGAGGAAGCTCTGATAATGCATTACATCATGAACATAGTCGCCATCCTTCTGATGTCCATCACAACTCTCATCGGTTGTATAATCTTCCGGATGGATAAGAGGGATCAGGTGTCTGGGAAGAACCCTACGCGGAGTCTGGATGTGGGACTGCTTGTGGGATCGTCCCTGGGCCAGTTCCTCATTTGTTACTTCACTATAGTAGCTGTTCTGGCATCAGGGGTCCAGGGGCACATAAATGGGCTCAACCTGGCCAATTCTATTCTGACTGTGATCCAGTTGTGCCTACAGAACACCTTCCTCATCAAGGGCCTCCATCGGGAGCCTTTCAAAGAGACGGAGACAGCCACCGTCTTCGCCAACGTCATGGCTGTAAGAGAGAGAGACCCGGAAAGACGGAGTAGCTCTATCGTCCCAGCTCACACGCTACCCATCCCGTTGACGTTGCTTCAGGGTCGACTCAACTGGAAGAGGAGGATCCTTAAGGAGATCTGCGCCTTCCTGCTACTCTGCAATGTCATTGTACGTACCTGACTCTCCATATTCTTTATTGAGTTAGGGGTAGGGTTGCAAAGGGGTGGAAGATTTCCGGAAATATTCCAGAATGTTTGGAAACTTTACATGATCTTTTGGAATCTTCTAGAAAATTTTGGAAATGTTGGGAAAGTTTCAGCCACTTTGCAACCCTAGTTAGAGGGCATACATAAAGGATACATTCTTTGCATATTTTTTTCATGGTTGGTTAGTGATTTTATTAACATACCCATGCATCGGATTAACTTGTATCACATTTATTACTCATCACGTAACAAAATTAGAAGAAGCTGGGAGTGGAGCAAGCACCTTGATTACTAATGATCGCTCTACGATGGTTGTTTTATTTGCCACAATTTTGTGGTTGCAACAAGCCTGGCTTTAAAAAGCCGCTCCAAATCCTATGCTTTCTGTATCCTATGTGTGTATAACTCCTAGATTTCTTTGTCTGTAACACATCAGAGTCAAAAACTAGTTTTAAATCTAATTCTGTACATTGCATTTGTGTCTTGTAGCTTTGGATTATGCCTGCCTTTGGAGCCCGGCCTCAGTTTGACAACACCGTCGGATCAAACATTTATGAATTCCAAACGTGGGCAGCGGTTGTGAATATTGGAATGCCATTTGGGATCTTCTACCGTATGCACTCAGTGGCTAGTCTGTTTGAGGTGTGCTTCACCTCGTAAATCAACCGACCACTCAAGAACTGTACAAGCTTATGCACATATCTTTGTAAAATAGATATTTTTTAATAGTGTATTTTTGTTTATCTGAAAGAGAAATTGTATTGTTTTTTACTACCTTTTATGTGTATATGTTAGTGTGTGGAGATCTAGACCATGTTGAACTGAAAACTTTTTAAATATGAGAATGATGTCACAGTTATCATTTGAAATATGGCCTAATCCTGTTACAGGCATTTGACCGTTAGCACTGCGGTGAAACCCTCTAGAATACCAGAGATCCACCTTTTCATTAGCGCCTGTGAATTCCCAATTTCTGTTTATTCTGGTCACTGTGTACCCAGATTAAAATGAGCAAACATATTGCTGTACTCTGTTTTTTTATGCTTTTGTTCCTTATGGATAAATGAGGTCTGAACAGGAAACGTGACACAACGACAAGTGTGTTTTTGTACGCTACATCCTCTCAATATATTTGGACAATTTTTGCACAAATACACAAACATTAAAATACATGTACAAATGCAACTTCTTGATCTGTTCCACAAGCACTCTTATAAATACTGCCACAAATGAAGAAAAACATTCAGGTTACAGTCATCGGCACTTTAAACAATATGATGAACATATGCAGAAATTCAGTAAACATAAGCTAATCGTTCTGCCATTTGACAACATTGGATAGTTTCATATACATAGACAGCGTTTCTACTTTAAACATCAAGCGATATTTACAGTATCTCATTAGCAAAATTGATATGCAGACAAAAATAGAGATATTGGTATACCAACAAACAACTGCTATATAATACTTTGGAAACAACTTTTTTTTTTTTTTTTTTACATTTTCATGATGTATATGAATACTGGTGCAATTATTTTAAACCAGCTTTTGATTTTCTGTTCATTTTTCTTCCAGTTACTCTTCATACCTGACATTACTATAATGAAATTTGGTAGTATGCATGTAAACACATTCTTACAGATAACCAAAAAAAAAAAGAAGATTTAGAAGATTTACAATCTAGAGGTCAATGCTTCTAAATTAACAACTTCCTAGAAATTTTTCAAAAGGTTTTCAATACTATAAATAGCATTCCTTCTTATAACAAGCACCTTGTTCCTATAAAAACCACAGTGAGAGAGTTTCACATGTCTGGGCTGCCTAAGCTGCTGACCACAGTATGCTTTTACTATCAGAGCGCATGCTTTATATTTAGACACTTTATCATCTGTACACCAGCCAGGGCAAACAGACCACTGATAGGCCGTCTGGCAGCTATGGGCACCTCTCATGGAGTCTCACAGTCTATGATGTGTCGCCTCTTCTCTGGGGAAGTGGAACGGGTTAAAGTGAAATGACAAGGCAAGATGAAGTCTGCAGGGTGGGCTGTCAGGGACCGACAGGTTACAGCTCATTCTTACATCCTCTGGATCTCAAACAGACGCACGTCGGTGTCGTACCAGATGGGAGGATCCACATTACTACAGTGAAAAGACAGAACAACGTTAAACTCACAAATGTATTTCATTTACCTGGCTGAATTGAGTTAAACATGCCAAAAACATATGCCGGACATATTTTACCCAAAAATCAAAAGGAAAATACAGTGCCTCGCACACCTGAATCATTCATAGGTGCACTGGACAAATGTCAAATATGAATTAGAAAAAAAAAATCCCACACACTACACAAACTTTAAATTTGATCATACAAATATTTTATAATGCAAACAAAAAAAGTCAAAATATGCAACAACTTATTAAGAGTACTTAGAGCTATTAATAATGACAAAGGCACCACCTCCAATTAGGCAGCCTTATATTCTATATAAAAAAATACAGAATTTGATGTATGAAAATTTTGTAATAATGCAAGTTTAAGTAGTGTGCAGGATTTATACATTTGTTCCCACAAAATCCAAAGAAAAAAAAGGTTATTTTTATTTATTATTATTATTTATGCTTATTTTTAGGAGCATTATTTTAGCGTGAAAAAATACAGAATTTGATGTATGAAAATTTTGTAATAATGCAAGTTTAAGTAGTGTGCAGGATTTATACATTTGTTCCCACAAAATCCAAAGAAAAAAAAGAAGGTTATTTTTATTTATTATTATTATTTATGCTTATTTTTAGGAGCATTATTTTAGCGTGAAAAAAAAATAGAATGAATGTCCTTTTTTCACAGTCCAATCAAATGCACATGAATATACAAATTGTATTCAAAATATCATAGCATGTTTTACCCACAACATGTCCAATACAATCCCAACAGATAAAATCAAATCCTGCTCTACATTATTTCAAGATGAATATTCGGTTTCTGAATAATATGTTCGATTTAAAAACATCTGTCATGTTTTTGCTTGAAAGGATAAATTATGTCATTCTGATTACATGCCCAGAAAACACCCACTGAGAAAACCGAGCACAAACTGCAATGTCATACTAACCGCAGGTAAATGACTCCCCACATGTACGTGCGAAACCACATGGCAGTTCCTGCATTGGCTTGGTATTTCCTGATGAGAATGGGATGGGGCACAGGCAGCAGACCCACTAGAGTGCCATGCTGAAGAAACTTCAGAATCTCAGATTCATCTGTTAGACCCCTAATTCAAGAACAAAGTACCATTTCACAGCATCAAAACAAACCACATGCATCCATCAATGACTAACTCTCCTCTTACTTGTCAATGCAGATTTTTTCCACTTGTGGCACCAGTACTTGCAACAAGCGCATGATGGTCTGCAGTGGAAGTTTACTCTTCCAGGACAGGACCTGCAATATGAGTCCAGACAAGAGGGGAGAGAGAGCTCTCATGGGCTTTATTCATACTTGAAATTGTTAACTTTGGAGCTGTTCTTAAAGTCGCAATGAAACTAAAGTACTAACAGATATTTTCTTCTTTATTGTGACGTACATATGAGTTTAATGGATTCTCGACAAAGAAAAAAAATGTCAGGCGGCGACTTGGTTCTAGGAGTCGGTTGTTGATTGGATTTGGAGATGGGAGGCAGATGAATGTAAGCTTGCAGGAGCATGGTTTATGGGGACTAAATCACTGGATAAGTCCTGCATGTGTCACCAAAGTTATGATATTTTGATTTAAGAAAATATGAAATAAATAAAATATATGCATGTATTATTCACATAATATCAATAGCATGCATTTAGAAAATTGAAGTGTATTTTCTTTTCATGGTGACTTTTTTTGCACTGATTTTTATTTTTCTAGAGTGAGTGGAGGCCGGTGGGCTTGAGAACGGCACGGCTGGCAGATTCGACGAAGGAGCGTCCGGCGAGCTTGCAGCAACCACAAGTGACGACCCTTGGCTGGACTCCGCTTCGTCCACAGTGAAAGTCGATCCGGCGATGCATAGCGCGAAGTTGATGTATTTCCTCAGTGACCAGCACGGATCAGCTCTAGGCATGACGAAGCGGATATCGTCCTCTTTTGGAAGACCAAACAAAGTAGTTTCACTTTCACAACGAAACACACAGCGCCTTCACGACATGGCGGCAGCAACAACAATACTACAGCGAGAATCAAAGTTACGCCTTCTTTCTTTGCGTGAACATTTGGGCAGCGTTATGCAAATCTTCCCACATCGTGACGTAGACATGTGGGGGCGTGTTAGAACGAGCTGTTTTAGGTAGGCGTGGCTGACTCTTAACTTTTATAAAGAATATCTCTTTGGATTTGAGACTTTATTCTTTGCAACTTTACAGATCTTCTTTATACACCAAGAGCTTGTAAGACTCCAAAGACAAAAGGAAAAATTGAAATCGCATCATATGACCCCTTTAAAAAATGTCCTGGCTGTTCCAAGCTTTATAATGGCAGTGAATGGGTGTTATTTTTCAATAGTCCAAAAGACTCATTCACTGCCATTATAAAGCTTGGAAAAGGACATTTTTAAATATAACTCAATGATTGTATTCGTCTGAAAGAAGAAAGTCATATACACCTAGGATGGCTTGAGGGTGAGTAAATCATGGGGTCATTTTCATTTTTGGGTGAACTATAATGTTAAACAGGAAAATAGTGTGTTGATAATGCAAGAGGACAATAGAAAACCCAAAATTTTTCAGTTAAAGTCAGCTCAGTGCAGTTCAGATAGTATCCGTGCAATTGGGTTGACAATATTGCCAGAAATTAAGAATCCCCAAAGGCCAAAGGCGACAGCGGCAAGGAACCAAAACTCCATCGGTGACAGAAATGGAGTGAAAAAACTTGGGAGTAAGTAAATGTATCCTGATTTTATGCAATGCAAAAATACTTATGAATACTTATTTAACATATTGTTACTAATGTGTTCTGTGCTGCTACGCGGTTGCTAGGATGTGCTGGCTGTGTGCTAGATGGTTTCCTCCAGGCCCAAATCAAAAGAGGCCTCACTGAAGTTTACACACTAGTGTTTAATACTCAGGATTAGAGGCTCAACTTAGCAAACACCGCTAGTAAGTCTCTGGGTGTTTAATTGGGGAGTGTTGTGTTGTGTTGTGCATTCTTCTTTTGCGTGTCATAAAGAGACGGACCTGTTTTCAGTGGAACAGAAGAAGGTGACCCAGGGGTTGAGAATACTGTTATCTGATGTCAGCGGCAGGTACATGGCCTCTGAGAAACAGGCGAGCAGTAACCTCAGCAGCTCAGTCCTATAAACACACCACATACAGAGGAGTGAAACATGCACCACTGCACGGTAAACACATTCAAACTGCTCATTTGACTAATCGGATCTTTAAATAACTGATCTGAATCTCAGTTGGGGTGGAAAAACAGGTGCAGGCTTTTTAAAGTCCCCATGAAATCAAAAAATCTAAAGTTTTTTTGAGTGTTAGTATCAATGTTAGTCTTAAGGTTATCTATAAGGCAGTGTGCTCCAAAACAGTGACAAAATTCGCATTTAGAAGATATAAGCATTTAAAGCTTGCAGTTCGTCTCTTTTTTTTGACGTCACGTCGTACTTCAGCTTCTCATCAAACTTTCTGTCCAATCAAATGCTCTCTAGAATCCGAAGTGCCCGCCCCCTACACTATAAAATAGATGCTGAAGCAGCGGCTGAAATCGGTCACTTGTCCACAGAATTAGTATTCTCTGTGCAGCGAATGGCACGTAGTGCACTATATAGGGGACAGGGAACGATTCAAACAGTGTAAATATGCTTTCCATTGAGAAAAAAAAGAAGTCTGGTTTCACGCTGTGTCACGCTAACCACAGCACCGCGCACACACTCTGCTCCGGTCCAGAGACACGATAGCACGGAGCGCATACAAAATGTATCGGAGCTATTTGAATTCTACACAGAATGCTATATTTTATAGCAATATGGATGAGATTGTGGCTGGCATACCCTGTCAAATGCGGCTTTACGGAGCTCAACGGCTCTGAATGGCTCTAGCCCAAGCTGTGATATAAACGAACGCTATTGGCTATTTTAAAAAGGGGCAGGGCTGCTTGATATGTCCCGCCCTGTCTTCCTGTTTCAGTTAAAATGACGTCAACACAGAGTAACGCTGCGTTGTTTCTAAGCATTTCAGGGGACCTTTAACTCTTGTGTGGTTACTGATTAAAAGGTCACCATGTAAACTCAAATAAAGACACGTGGCTGTGGGAATGGAGTCTACCTCACATCCCGTCACTCTCTCTCACCTGTTGATATCATGGATGTAGTTGAGTGGGGGGGACTGAGCGAAACCCACTCCAGCCTCCCAGATATATTCACAACTGTCCAGTGACCGCATGTCTTCAACCGAGTCCTGTACATAAGAAACAGAAACTCAACCTGAGACTGAATTTACTGGAAACTGCGCACAGACAGACTATGGGACAAATTAACTAAGAGCATTTCATTACATTACTGACATATAGTCAATCATTAATAAAGCTGTTAACCTGTTACTGTTTGAGGTTGAGTAACACTGATACATTTATTTTATACAATTAATACAAATGCTTAATTTGATAATACAGCCATTTCAGACTAAATAATTGATAAAGACCAGAGCAAAATCAGAGAAATATCTAGGCCTAAATGTAAGAATTACGTATTTAAATTGTCTATCCATTTGGATTACACAGATTTAACATTAATTAACTTAATGTGATGCATATTTCTCAGTCATAAATGAAAAAGGTAAGAAACACTTAAAAAAACATAGCATAGTTTATTATTAACTATTTGCATGTATTTGTTTGCATTTTATTACTCATATTTTTACGACATATTTATTCAAATTGTTTTAACAGTTATTCAAAATGTTTAAATCAGCACAAATCTGCTCATTGTGAAAACAACTACATTTATTAAAAATATGGCTAGCTGTGGAACAAGCAATATTCAATTTAAACAAATGGGATTTATTGATGTCAAATATATAAATCTTGTTACTGGTTATTTAAACCACACTCAGGTTATTAGTACTGTTACAGAAGTCTCGTTTCTATTTACATTTAATCATTTGGCAGACACTTTTATCCAAAGCAACATTCAAATGAGAGCAATAAAAGCAATCAAACCAACTAAGTGTGCTATGACAAGTCCCGGTTAGTCAAACACAGCCCACGTAGCAAGTTTTTTTTATATACAGGTGCATCTCAATAAATTAGAATGTCATGGAAAAGTTCATTTATTTCAGTAATTCAACTCAAATTGTGAAACTCGTGTATTAAATAAATTCAATGCACACAGACTGAAGTAGTTTAAGTCTTTGGTTCTTTTAATTGTGATGATTTTGGCTCACATTTAACAAAAACCCACCAATTCACTATCTCAACAAATGAGAATATGGTGACATGCCAATCAGCTAATCAACTCAAAACACCTGCAAAGGTTTCCTGAGCCTTCAAAATGGCCTCTGAAGGAATAAAAAGTAGATAGAAAAGAAGTAGAATAGATAGAGCTAGTGTTAAGAGTGTCAAGTTACTATGATCTTTTATAATAATTAAAAGTAGATAGAATAGAAAAAGAATAAAGAGTGCTAGTGTTAGAGGGTCAAGTGTCTTTAGCAGTTTCTTAAGTATAAGTCTCTTAACCAGTTTTTAAGTTTATTAGTTTATGTTTAACCTGTGTAAAAACAGACAGAAATATGATATGCAATTCAAATACATAATCTTAAATTTAGGTCTAATATGTGTATATACATATATATATTACTCATTTACTATATTTCACCCAACCATAGACTTAAACCAACAGATACTACAAGTGCCTACACACTTTTAGTGCTTAAGCCTTAAAAAAGTGGATATTTATGGAATAATACAGTTTTAACAGGGTGCCTTAAAAAAAAACATTTTATTAATGTATAGGTTCCTTTTTTAAAGCCATGCTTTAACAATACCATCACGGTTTCACGCTTTAAAAATGTAACTTGTACAGATGTTGGACTACAAAATCTAATGTATCCTTCTGTTCCTATCCATTTTGACAGACAGTGGTGAACTCACAGGTCTTCCTTTCTTGTGGCTCTGAACAGTGAAGTCTGGACAGAAGAGCAAGTCAGCCAAAGCCAATAAGAGAGACTCTGCCAGCGGACGGGCGCCTTCATCTTCATCCTCCATATCATCCATCTATGCAGAGACAAGCGCAAAAAAATCACTAAAAATCTAAATGCTACTTGAACTGATTTACTTTTTTTATTATTTAATTATTATGAATTATTTTTTACCTATAGTATATGTTTTATTTGATTATAGCGATTATTTGATGATAATATTTAAAATCTGAGTATGTAGGAAGGGTTAGAATTGATTTGTAGAAATTTGGATTTCTCTTAGAGCAAATAACCAACCACAACTAGGACATAACGCATGATAAAACTGAACAAATGTGCTTGTGTGAATATATCATCTTTGAGGTGAGGGACATTTATTTGAGTGCATTTCATAATCCTACACTGCTATTTTCGAATGCACTTAAACGAGAGAGAGAGACAGAGACAGAGATAGAGAGAGAGCGCGCACGCACTTCTGTTGTGTGATCTTTGAAGTTCACTCACTTAGCACACGCATCATTTGGATTAAAACTAAATTGTAAAAATAAGACCATTCATAGGGGCATTCACTATAAACATAATTTATTTTCAACCTTAGGCATATACGACTTTCTGGCGAAAGTGAATCTAGCAGCCTTTGTGAAATGCACTAGGCTGTACTATTCTGCATCAGTACAAATACCTGCACGCGTTGCGAGTGTTTTGCTTGCTTGATTGTTTCTGCATTATATGAGTGGCTTTGGAATATAAATCGCAGCACGTTTCAGATGAAAAAAAAACCGCGACTTCTATTTCTGAAAATATCACAGTTAGGAGATTTATAACAAGTGGTTCCCTGCATTATTACAGCAAAGTGCGTGATTACAGTACTGAGTCGCTGCAATTGAGCAGCTCTAATGCTATTAAATGAAAGATGATGTACCATAGAGCAAAAAATGAACAGTGAAAGTAACAAAAACTTGTAAAATACATTTTAATGGGCATAATTAAGTGTGAAAATAACCGAAGGATATACAGTCAAACCAAAAATTATTCAGACCAGATATAATTTTAGATTTTTTTTTTACTAGTGGGTGCAGGACACTATAGTTCATGTAAGTGAGCATAGCAAAATAAAGTAAACTGTGACAAATTATACCCAACATTTCTTCATACAGTGGACTATCAGTAAAACTGATACAAATTTGGTACCAAAAATTATTCAGACCGAGTCTGGGAAAAAACATTGCAGTTGAGGTTTGCATGAAGCTGGATGACAGCATGCCCAGGAGACTACAGGCTGTCATTAAGGCAAAGGGTTGCCCGACTAAGTATTGATAGTTGTGTAAATACTGTCATACTAACAGCTGTCTAATGTTTGGTTGATTTGTAATCTATTACATACCTTTCTATCAAAGTTATCTAACATTATCAAGCTGAATTTGTTCTGACTCAGTTTAACTCTGAGTTCTTGTCATATAATAAATGTCAATGATAATGGGAGAAATGTTGAAGGTGTCTGAATAAATTTAGGTTTGACTGTATTTATTTGATAAATAAAGTTAACCAACTAACATTATACATACTCTTCTGGTTTCTGTACCCAATATTTAAAAAATGTACAAATGCAATAAAAATATCGGTATCGGTACTCGGTATCGGCAAGTACCAAAAAATAAAAGTATCGGGCGAGTACTGGAAAAAGTGGTATCGGTGCATCCCTAATAGACAGCAAGGTAACTACCACGTTCAAGGTCCAGAAAAGTATCAAGATGATCGACAAAGTTGTCCATGTAACATCAGTGGTTCAACTGTAAAGTTACGAAGCTACGAGAATACTTTTTTGCGCTCAGAAAACAAAAATAACGACATTATTCCAAATTTTCGTCTCTACTGCGTCACTTGTGGACGCGCGTTCATGACAGTATGTGGCGGTGCTGACCCAGATCCGGCTTAATGACGTCATCACACCGGATCTGGGTCAGCGCCAGTGTTGCCAAGTCTGCGGTTTTCCCGCGGAATTGGGCTACTTTATCACAGTGTTCTTTTTCATGTCCGCGGGTTGAAGCGACTCCAATAACATTGATATTTATCCCCTGGAATGTGAATTTTAGCAGGGGAACCCCACCAAAAAACATGTATTTTCCCCACTCGATTTTTAACTGGGGACCGCCTCGAAACGCGATTGGGCTAGTTTTGGGCTAGTTTTGAGTAACGATTGGGCAGGTTTTCTTGTGAAAACCTGGCAACCCTGGTCAGCGCCGACGCCGCCACACGCTTGCGTCATGGTACTGTCATGAATGCGCGTCCACAAGTGATGCAGTAGAGACGAAAATGTGGAATAAAGTCATTATTTTTGCTTTCTTTTGCAAAAAAGTATTCTCGTAGCTTCGTAACTTTACAGTTGAACCACTGATGTCACACGGACTATTTTGTCGATCATCTTGGTACTTTTCTGGACCTTGAACGTGGTAGCTACCTTGCGGTCTATGGGAGGGTCAGAGAGCCCTCAGATTTCATCAAAAATATCTTAAATCGTGTTCCGAAGATGAACGAAGGTCTTACGGGTTTGGAACAACACGAGGGTGAGTAATTAATGACATAATTTTCATTTTTGGGTGAACTGACCCTTTAAACACAACCTTGAAGTCACACTGCTGAATTTCAATCAGTTTCTGTAAATTCCAAACAAGAAGGTGAGTTGCTAGCACTTAATGGTTATTATTTAGTGAATGCTCCTCACCTCTGCTCTGCCAGCACCAGGGATGGTGGACCAGAAGAACCCCCTCCAGTCCTGGTCCTCAAAGATGTAGGGCAGGATTCGAGACAGCATACGAGCGCAGTTCAGCACAATCTGTTTCTCCTTCTCAGTGGGGCAGCCGGACTCGGCTCCCTGAACCAACTTCTCCACTGCCTGTGGGAATACACAGATACAGAAGACAGTACGAACATGAACACCAACACATCCACATACATGGGAGTATTTTCAGTTTCGAAGTTTATTTACTTTTCTGCTTAACAATACTAAAAATTTATTAAAGCAGAAAGTACATCAGGAGGTCAAATTGCAAGTAAAAACATAAAGGCAAGATACAAATATGCGTAAAAATATAAAAAAATATTTCAAAACATAATCAAGAATACTATACCAAATAATAATAAGATATACATATGCAAACATATACATACACATCCATCCACAAATATGCATGCATGCATATACTGTATGTACACTCAAATTTGCAGACATGTGCAGAAGTGCAATTAAAAAATAAATAAATAAAGACCATAAATGTCCACCTTATATTCATGCAAATATAGGTCTGATCATAAAACTACAATCATAATAAACTTTATCTAATCTATGATGAATCTGTTAAGTTAATCATATTAACTTTGAATATGATCCACAAACACAAATACAATGTTGCACAATATTTTTGTGTTCATTTTAAACAGTGATCTACACTAACATTCAAAAGTTTGCGGGTGGTAAGATTTATTTTGTTATTTATTTATTAAAAGATGCCTCTTTAGCTCACTAGAGCTTCATTTATTTAATCAGAAATACAGTAACAACTGTAACATTGTGAAATATTATGATTACAATTTAAAATAACTGCTTTATATTTAAATATATTTGAAAAGATAATCAATTAATTCCTGTGATGACAAAGCTGATTTTTCTGCATCATTACTCCAGTCTTCAGTGTCACATGATCCTTCAGAAATCATTCTCAAATATGGAGATTCTGGTGCTCAATAAACATTTATTATTATTACTGTTCTGTGCTGTTTAATACTTTAGTAGAAACAGTGATACAATTTGTAAAGGATTCTTTGATGGACAGAAACAAAGCATTTATTTGAAACAATCTTTTGTAACTTTATAAGTGTCTTTAAAATCACTTTTGATCCCTTTAATGTGTCCTTGCTGAATAAAAGTATAAATTATAAAGTATGAATATACAGTGGGTACGGAAAGTATTCAGACCCCCTTAAATTTTTCACTCTTTGTTATATTGCAGCCATTTGCTAAAATCATTTAAGTTAATTTTTTTTCCTCATTAATGTACACACAGCACCCCATATTGACAGAAAAACACAGAATTGTTGACATTTTTGCAGATTTATTAAAAAAGAAAAACTGAAATATCACATGGTACTAAGTATTCAGACCCTTTGCTGTGACACTCAAATATTTAACTCAGGTGCTGTCCATTTCTTCTGAGCATCCTTGAGATGGTTCTACACCTTCATTTGAGTCCAGCTGTGTGTGATTATACTGATTGGATGCAGATCCTCTGTCAGGTTGGATGGTAAACGTTGGTGGACAGCCATTTTTAGGTCTCTCCAGAGATGCTCAATTGGGTTATTGGGTTTGAACTGGCTGGGCCATTCAAGAACAGTCACAGAGTTGCTGTGAAGCCACTCCTTCGTTATTTTAGCTGTGTGCTTAGGGTCATTATCTTGTTGGAAGGTAAACCTTCGGCCCAGTCTGAGGTCCTGAGCACTCTGGAGAAGGTTTTCGTCCAGGATACCCCTGTCAAGAGCACAGTGGCCTCCATTCCTTAAATGGAAGACGTTTGGGACGATCAGAACCCTTCCTAGAGCTGGCCGTCCGGCCAAACTGAGCTATCGGGGGGGAAGAGCCTTGGTGAGAGAGGTAAAGAAGAACCCAAAGATCACTGTGGCTGAGCTCCAGAGATGCAGTTGGGAGATGGGAGAAAGTTGTAGAAAGTCAACCATCACTGCAGCCCTCCACCAGTCGGGGCTTTATGGCAGAGTGGCCCGATGGAAGCCTCTCCTCAGTGCAAGACACATGAAAGCCCTCATGGAGTTTGGTGAGATGGTGAGAAATAAGATTCTCTGGTCTGGTGAGACCAAGATATAACTTTTTGGCCTTAATTCTAAGCGGTATGTGTGGAGAAAACCAGGCACTGCTCATCACCTGTCCCAACAGTGAAGCATGGTGGTGGCAGCATCATGCTGTGGGGGTGTTTTTCAGCTGCAGGGACAGGATGACTGGTTGCAATCGAGGGAAAGATGAATGCGGCCAAGTACAGGGATATCCTGGACGAAAACCTTCTCGAGTGCTCAGGACCTCAGACTGGGCCGAAGGTTTATCTTCCAACAAGACAATGACCCTAAGCACACAGCTAAAATAATGAAGGAGTGGCTTCACAACAACTCTGTGACTGTTCTTGAATGGCCCAGCCAGAGCCCTGACTTAAACCCAATTGAGCATCTCTGGAGAGACCTAAAAATGGGTGTCCACCAACGTTTACCATCTAACCTGACAGAACTGGAGAGGATCTGCAAGGGGGAATGGCAGAGGATCCCCAAATCCAGGTGTGAATAACTTGTTGCATCTTTCCCAAAAAGACTTATGGCTGTATTAGATCAAAAGGGTGTTTCTACTAAATACTGAGCAAAGGGTCTGAATACTTAGGACCATGTGATATTTCAGTTTTTCTTTTTTAATAAATCTGCAAAAATGTCAACAATTCTGTGTTTTTCTGTCAATATGGGGTGCTGTGTGTACATTAATGAGGAAAAAAAATTAACTTAAATGATTTTAGCAAATGGCTGCAATATAACAAAGAGTGAAAAATGTAAGGGGGTCTGAATACTTTCCGTACCCACTGTATATATATATACCCCACACTTATGAATGGTAGTGTATACTAAATCATATATCTATAAAACGTCTTTTTCTGAAATGTTTTGTATGAAAAGTATCCTATTTTGCTTTCAAATAAATGACATAGCCTTTGATGTGCATTGTTATCTTTTGTTATCCAGACATTCAGATAAATGTGAAATACATTTGGGGCCATTGTGAAACTAAACAGAGTACATGTGCATACAAGTTAAATCATTTTTAAATAGTTACACAATAAAATCTCTTTACTTATGGCCTGATGTCACGCTTTTATTCCTTCAGTACACAGTAAAGCAACACGTCTCTCTCTCTCTTTCTCTCTGTTGTACACTCCTCTGGCAGGATGTGCGTCTGAAGATTTCTAATCATGCTTTCTTTCTGATGGGCAGCCTCAAACAGGAAGCCCAGGGTTTGAGACAGGAAGGGGAAAGCACCAGCAGTTTTCCTGCCCCACCAACACCTTTAAACTCACACAATCACTGCATATATTATTGATGAGGCACTTTCTCTAATGACTGAATGTTAACGCTACACGTATGTCATAACAGGATCGATTTCGGCACAGATGAACGCTACCTTGTAACACAGTGTTGCCAGATTGGAGGGCGATTCCTCCCGGACGGCTCGGATCTCAGCGGCGGGCAGCAGGGCAAACACATCCTGAACGGTGGTAAAGAAACATGTGCAAACAATATAATTGCTCTTGAGAATTTATTTGCATGTTAATTACATTGTGCAAGCTGTCTCTTTAATACCGCATGGTTTACATGTTGCTGCTGATTGGGCTGACATGTTTGACACACCCACCAAACAAGAGAAAACGCATCTCAAACCCCGTTACACACCGTTTCCAGGAAACATGTCGTTCAAACCGGAAACCGTGGCAAAACGGCGCACACCGGTTAGAGCTTGAACATGCCCCAGGTGTGTTGAGGCAAGTTGGAGCTAAACTCTGCAGGACACCGGCCCTCCAGCACCGAGTTTGGGCACCCCTGGTTTAATGCATACGTAAATCCCTTTAACACACACCAGACTGAAGCAACAGCTGGGCTGATCCAATCACTGAATTCAGAAATCACATCAATATTTCATTAACAGTTAAAAATAACAATGCAATCATGTTGACCATGCAGAGAACAAGAAACAGCTAATCATTTCAGATTATATAAATGAGTGACAGCAGCAGCACTGATTTTTTTTATATAATACATGCATTTTTGAGACTACATCGATTCTTTTTTAAAGAAAATATTCCATTTTATTTATCAACTACCCTTATACACGTATTATTAAATTATTTTTGGATGACTTGACAATTAATCATTTCATCATTTCATTTGATGTTTTCAACAAAAACATGCAAGCAAGGAAACAAACAAACAAAAAACCTAAAATAAATGGTATCAAACAAGATATGCAACTTTAGTTTAAATGTATTTAGAGAGGTTTATGCTTAAAACAACTGAAAGAAAATAAAACACGGTTATACTGGAGATATGTTCTCTCATGCAGTTTAGCTCTTTGTAAATGTATCTTGTTTTAAAAATGTTTAGCGGTTATTGCATTCCTAAAAAAAATTATAATAATTTAGTAAGTAAGTAATATATAATAAATTATTATGATCAGTGTTGGGGGTAACGCATTACAAGTAACGCGAGTTATGTAATCAGATTACTTTTTTCAGTCAGTCAGCTCATATTAATATTCATGAGCCAGGTCTCTGCCACAGTTACCATAGTAGGATTCATAAATTCCAAACGCACTAGGCAGTTGCTAGGAAAACACTGTTTAGCAAATTCACCCTTAAATCTGTTACTTTTCACAAGTATCGCAACCCATATTCCAGATGTATAACGTAAATGAAGTAATGTGACAAAAACATTCGACAGCAACAACAACAAAAAGTAACATTCGGATGTAAAGCAGACTCTGACAAATCTCGCACTCTCATGAAAACCAACGCATTTTACATTTTAATTCTCAACTGTTTCGTTATTCAGCGTTAAAATGCAATATCAGCTGTCATAAATGTGTTCAGATGCGTTATACTGTATGTCATAGAGTTGAGAAGTGGGACAAAACGGAGCAAAATTGAAAAAACAAAACCTTGTACTCACACAATTGAAACTACATTTATGTATCTTATATGTACTGAGCTACTGAGCTATGCTTTGATACAACCTCCCAACCTTTCTCTTTTTTAACAAAATGTGCTTTTTTACCTTGGACTGTGTCATATAATTTCAGCTTTATCTTTAACAGCATTCAAGATGTTTTTAACATTTCAAAACACATTCTCGTGCTAGCAGACATATCACACTTTCACATGTGACCGACGATTCCACAACAAATATCAAATATCATAATGAAATATTATCAAAATATTCAACTGACCGAGGTGACGAAAACCTGAATTTGTAGTCATTTTAACTATCAAATACAAACCCAATTCCAAAAAAGTTGGGACACTGTACAAATTGTGAGTAAAAAAAAGGAATGGAATAATTTACAAATCTCATAAACTTATATTTTATTCACAATAGAATATAGATAACATGTCAAATGTTGAAAGTGAGACATTTTGAAATGTCATGCCAAATATTGGCTCATTTTGGATTTCATGAGAGCTACACATTCCAAAAAAAGTTGGGACAGGTAGCAATAAGAGGCCGGAAAAGTTAAATGTACATATAAGGAACAGCTGGAGGACCAATTTGCAACTTATTAGGTCAATTGGCAACATGATTGGGTATAAAAAGAGCCTCTCAGAGTGGCAGTGTCTCTCAGAAGTCAAGATGGGCAGAGGATCACCAATTCCCCCAATGCTGCGGCGAAAAATAGTGGAGCAATATCAGAAAGGAGTTTCTCAGAGAAAAATTGCAAAGAGTTTGAAGTTATCATCATCTACAGTGCATAATATCATCCAAAGATTCAGAGAATCTGGAACAATCTCTGTGCGTAAGGGTCAAGGCCGGAAAACCATACTGGATGCCCGTGATCTTCGGGCCCTTAGACGGCACTGCATCACATACAGGAATGCTACTGTAATGAAAATCACAACATGGGCTCAGGAATACTTCCAGAAAACATTGGCGGT